AGTGTGTGTGTGTGTGTGTGTGTGTGTGTGTGTGTGTGTGTGTGTGTGTGTGTGTGTGTGTGTGTGTGTGTGTGTGTGTGTGTGCGTGTGTGTGTGGAATTAGACTCCCTCTCTTCCACACTTTACATGCGTGCAAATAGGTGCGCAGCAAACTGGCGACATGCGCCCACTGAGAACTCAGAGATATGGTAACCAGGATCGCAACTCAGCTGCGCGCGCGCGCGAGAGAGAGAATGAGAAAGAGAGAGAGAGAGAGAGAGAGAGAGGTGTGTGTGTGTGAGAGAGAGAGAGAGAGAGAGAGGTGTGTGTGTGTGAGAGAGAGAGAGAGAGAGAGAGAGAGAGAGAATCAATCAATCAATCAACCAAACCAATCAATCGATTTTTTTTTTTTTCTAATTTTTTTTTTTTTTCACACAGCAAAAACCGACCCCCCAAATTTTCAAATTTTTTTTTTTTTTTTTTGCATAGGCCGACATCAGCCGACGTGCGCAGGCCGAGCGCATGCTCGGATTTTTCGCTTGCGCCCCCGCCTGGGCGTGGCTCGGCCGCAAAAAAAGTCGGCCACGCGGCCTCGGATCCGGGCCGCGGATTGGGCCGCAGGATCCGCGGCCGAGTGTGTTATGTAACTTGGCGATGGACAGAGGGAATATGCTGCTGATGACGCAGGAGAGTGGGAGGTTAGGGATGAGAGTGCAGTTGGCAATGGGGAGGGGGAATATGCCACTGACGACGCAGGTGAGTGGGAAGGGGAGTGGGGGCTATTGGCAACGGTGGAAATGGCGGCAGCGGCAGCGACGACGGCAACAGTCACAGCAACAACATCTACAACAACAATATTGGAGGTGGAGCAGGGGTTGGTAGCGGAGACGCAAGGAATGCCATTGGGCGTTATTGGCGAGAAGGGTGGGATGGTCGACAACAATAATGACAGTTAAGACAATGACAACAACAACGGCGGCGTGCGGCGAATGGGCGAAGTGGATGAGATAGGAGTGAAGGAGGATAACAATAACAAGAACAAGAACAACAACAACAACAACAACAACAACAACAACAACAACAACAACAACGATACCAACATTATGGAGAGAGGGGAGTGAACACCAAGGACATGGAGGAGAGGGGAGAGAACGCTCCCAACAACGACAACAACAACAAGAACAACAACAACAACAAAGTTGGCAAGAACAACGAGATGGTTGAGATGGGAGAGGATGCTGACAACAACAACAACAACAAAAACAACAATGACGAAGSTGAGCAGGGATAGGGTGAGATGGGAGAGATGGGCGAGCAGGAAGAGAAGGGCGACAGCAACAACAACAGCGACGGCGGTAATAACAGCAACAACAATAACAACAATAACAACAACGATGACGAGGACGGAGGCGGCGATCATGGTGATCATGGAAGTGGCGACATGGAGAGTGGTGACRTCCAGGGGATTGGAGGAGACATCCGTGGCAGCAGCATGCCGCAAGCAGAATTGGACGGGGTGGGGGTGGTGGGGGTGACAATAAGTGGTTTAATCTCCTCCCCTCTTCCAAACTCGATATTATGGAGAGTGTCTGGCAGAGGAGAGGAGTAGGGTAGTTCATGGAAGTTGCTGCTGCCTCGGGTGGGGATGATTACAGAAGATGCTTCTCGCCTCGATATCATTTTACTTGCAGGAGGTCAATCCTTCCCTTGTGTAGGGAAGTAATCAATGCCCCGGCGCTCTTCGGATTCACATCATCACACTGTACTGCAGAAATGCATAAAGGACTAAGGATTCGTTCTTCTGATTATATACTATATTGATAGGGTTCTTTTCTAGGGTTGATTGATTCTGAGCACACACATCACATTGGGTTTTGCGATTAGAATGTTTGATACAGAATACAGAATACAGAATACACACATCATAGTTTTGTTAGGGTTTCATCTACAGACTGATATAGGACGTTCGRAAGGAATATAGATTCATCACTGTATAGGGACGCTGGACCCGTTATCCAGCTTATACACATCACATCATTGATGCCTCAGTTTGTGTTGGAGACGCTGCAGACACTGTAGATCGGATGGATAGGGTTTTCCATCATCTGACATATATTGCTTAACGTGCATACATAGGTAGTCAAAGATAGGGACCTGATCTCCAGCAGAGACATTCACATCTTTGTACAGGGACGCTGGACCCGATTTCCAGCAGGTGTAGCTCCCCACCAATAGATGGAGCCTTCGACGCCGGGTCCCAACTTACCGGGGATGCTCTTATCACCTCATTAACTAGGTTCCAGTATACGAAGTTTTCTCAAAAAAAAAAAAAAAGGAGGATAACTGGTTACAGTGTAATCAGTTAGGGGATTCTGCGGACTGTTGAGGGTTCACCAGACTGTTGAGGATTCTGCACAC